AAAAAAAAAAAAAAAAAAAAAAAAAAAAAAAAAAAAAAAAAAAAAAAAAAAAAAAAACAATTTTGGAAACAAATGATTTAGAAATAATAAGAATGACTTGATGAACAATTTCTGCTATCTCTTTTACTTAGAAGGCAGTCTTAGAACAAAGAAATAAAACAAATACAAACTACATGGTTATTTTATTCAGAGAATAAATAAAAATTTTAAAATTCATATGATATATATATTTAAATAAATTAATTTTACTATGCTAGTCATTAAATATTTTGAATATCATTCCTGTGCATAACAGTCTCTTCTTTTGTCCGAGGATGTCCATTACCCAGCGGTGACCAGGACACGTTTATATCTACTCTAGGGTGGATAGTATCCTTAAAGCATACTCACTTTTTGGGGTTCCTAGAGCCCAGGGTCCAGTATTGAGACAGAACATTCTTTTCCTGAGGTAGTAGCTTCTTTGCCTGAAAGAATGTATGGTGCTCGACACAGGATTTCCACAAGTTTTTGCAAGATCGGTAATTTAACATGTTGAAGGCCACAATATGTTCCCTGGATTCAGTCTGGGCAGAAGAACAGGAGAGATTTCATCTGCACAGATGTAGGAGAGCAAGGTCTCACAAACATTTTACCCACATCAGTGGTAACCAGGGAAGATGCAAAAGACAGCAGGAAACTGGCTTCCAAATGCCTTGGCCACAAACTGGCGTGACAGGAATATTCAAGAGCAGGATTTGTTAATCATCTTTAAGAATGTGGCAATAAAGATGACCAGAATCTACTCTTTAACATCATTTGTGGTTCTTCATGAAAACTTTTATTTTGAATCGGCTTACATTTCTAGGTTGGATATATTTGGAACACCCAGATAAGGACTGTCCGATATGTTCCTTTTAAAATTTAGCTCTGGGAACATCTTTCTGAAGAAATACTCTTTCACCTTTCAGACAATAGCAGTTCTATAATCCTCCAGGTTTTTCTTTGCTTTCCATAAAGCACAGAATTAAATACAGTGCTCATACGAGGGGGTCTTTAAAAAGTTCGTGGAAAGGTTCTTACTACCTTTTAATTCCATTTTCAAAAAACGGAATTAAAAAACTTTTTGAAGTACACTCGTATATAATAATCGTTTTAATCATTTGCTTTACCTTCATCCTGCAAGAGTTTAGGTTTTCTGTTTTCATGTTAAACTGCCATCTTAAGCACTTTTGTGACAATCTGAATCTTACTCTGGGGGGTCAGGAGCCCCAGATTCTAGCTTTAGCTTGCTCTGAGTTTTACTGTTTCCATTTCTAACAGTTCATTTCTATGTGGGGCCATTTTAAGCACATATTATCTTTGAAAAATTAGGAAATGGACATAGTGACAGTAAGTGAAAAATATGTAGCATAACAAGATGGAAAGAGCAGGTGCCTCAGATTCATCATGATCTGGCTCAAATTTCAGCCCCCCACCTGCCAGCTGTGGGAGCCTTTGTTTCCTCATCTCCGAGTCCTGCTTCTCGATGTGGACAAGCAGAGCAAATTCCCTAGAATGCTGGGGACTCCTTCTGAGACACACATACAAGGCCATCACGCATTTTATACAAATGGGACAGGACTGACCTTGTTCACATTTGTTACTACTCTGTGGTGGGCTCTCTGCCAGGTGCTCTGACCAATGTTCTTTTATTTAATCCTCACAATTCCCTGAGCAGTGGACATCATTGCATTTCTGGAAACAAGGTAACTTGGGCTAGGAGAGGTTAAGTAACTTGCCCAGCCGGTAAGTGGAAGGGCCAGGATCTAAACTGTCTCTGACTCCAAAAGAAGTTGATTCTCTGACTAGATAAGCAGAGTGAATCATACAGAGAACCCCTGGATCCTTTGGGCCCTCGCTCCACTATGCCCCACTCTTTCTTCTCTGTTATATATATACGGCAAATTGCCTTCAACCCCTGAAGAATGAAGAGTTGAAGTAACTTAAAAACACATGAGGGCCGGCCCGGTGGTGCACTCGGTAGAGGGCGGCGCTTGGGAGCGCAGTGGCGCTCCTGCCTAGGGTTCGGATCCCATATAGAGACCGGTCCGCTCACTGGTTGAGCGCAATGCGGGCGCGACACCGAGGGTTGAGATCTCGTTGCCGGTCATGGTGCGGGTGCGACACCAAGGGTTGCAATCCCATTACCGGTCACGAAAAAAGACAAAAAGGAAAAAAAAAAAAAAAAAAAAAAACACAAAACAATGCAAGCATAGATGTAACTCACCTGTTTTTGTCGCTGATGTATAAAGAATTTTTTCCTTTTGAAAGAAATTTTGAGAATGTTCACCCTGCAAAAAATTAAACAAAACACAGACAGAGCACATCAGGGAACCACCAGGAGGTAGCTGACGCCTCTTAAGGTGTGTCTTCTATACTGTGATCCTGGTGATGTGGGGTTCTTGGCTCCCTAGAGTTCACTTCGCTGTAGAAATGACGGCAGCCTGATTGCCTCAGCCAGGCACCAAGTAGCTAACTGAAGCTGAGCGTCACATAAGGGCCACTGGATTACAATGTGGCTTTTAAATAACAAGAAACATGGGCCACGTGCTCTTTGCTATAAGCTTCTTTTGTGACACTGCAGCTCTGCGCAAGCTGGTGTCTGCATGGGGAAGACAGCAGAGAGCAGTGTGGAGCAGCAGAGAGCAGACCTGGGTCCTTATCCCAGCTCCATTACTCATCAGCCACATATCAAGTAGCCTGTTTATCGTGTGCATAACAGTAGAACTATTTTTTTTATAGACCAGGCTGCTACTAAGAGCTTTACAAACATCCCCTCAATTAAGCTTTGCAATCCTGAAAAGTAAGTATTGTTATACCGAGTTTTCATATGAGGAAACTGAGGCTCAGAGGCATCATGCAAGCACTCAAGATCATTCAACCAGCACTTGGAGCCCGGATCTGAGCCCGGGTCTCACCCCATTCCAAAGCCAGTGCTCTAAAGCCCTGTGCTGGGATGTCCTCTGAAGTGTGGCAGCAACACTGCCTTTCTCATAGAGCTGCCTCGTGAAGACTCAAGTGTTTCAGGCATGTCGAGTCCTAGCATGATGCTTGACACGTGGCAGGCCCTCAATATCTGATCCTTTAATTAAAATTTATTAAAGAGATCATTTTTTTCCCTCCTTTTTTTGGGGCAGCATAGGGATTAAACCCTGGTGTTATCAGTACAATGCTCTAACCAACTAAGCTAATCAGCTGGCCCTAAAGAGATCACTTTTTAAATCAACTTAATTCATTTATGTGAAACTACTGTAAGCCATACAAGGGAGGCACATTTCCCCACTGGAATCTTTATTTCTGAAACACTTGGAGACAATAAAGGAATTCTACTATTCTCTAGAACCACATGAAGACCTTGGTAGAGCATTCTACAACAGAGAGGCTGGGTAGGTAAGGTGAAAGTTTACACGTGTGACATTTCCCCAGTTGGATCAGCAATAATATATCCCTATATTACTGCCAAAGTCCTTACCGCCCTTCACTCACTCATAAGGAAAGAAAACTGTACTGAGTGCCTAGATGTACTAAGTCCTGTGCCAGGCCCCGCGGACAGAGTGAACGAAATAGTGGGCACTGCCATCTGGAAACTTCTAATCTAATGGGGGAGACAGGTACCTAGTAAATAATGATACACATAACTCACTCTAATTGTGACCATTGCAGGCAGGAAAATCTAGCATCCACAAGACTACTAGGGACTGAGTCTGTGCTCCTATGGCCTGTGAGGCCCTACTGATCCAGCCTCTCTCCCACCACTCCCCACACCACACCATGCTTCAGCCTGACCCACCCACCTCCTCTTTCCTCACTACGCCGTGTTCTCTCTTGTCTCTGGACCTACGCTCACTCTGCACCTTCTCTCTAGAATTCATTCCCTTGGGCCAAAGCTCTGCTGGTCTTCAGATCCTGTTAGTGTTCACCTCAGTAGGCTCAGGGCCCTTCCGGCGTCCTGCCTTCTTGGGTGCTTGACCATGTACCCCACTAACCACACTGGCGTCACCATTTGGTGCTGGCCTTCTTGCTGGTCTCTGAGGTTTTCACCAGAGGCAGGGGCCAGGCCTCAACAGGAGTCAGTTTGATGCTGAAAGACGAGGGATAATTCGGCATGCCTGTGGGCAAGCTGGGGTTGCGGGTGTTGGAGTCTCTGCAGGCTCTGCAGAAAAGGCTTCTACTGACAAAGCTACTTCTCCTGACCACGCTTCCTGCTTCTCTCCTGAAGTGTCCTCATGGGACTCACATCTTCCCTGAAATGTGATGGACCAGCCCCTCTTTGTGAGGGCTTAGGAGGTTCAACCACAGGCAAAGCCGGACCCAGGTGGCTTGAGGCCTGTGGCATCTGGGGGAAACCCAAAGCATTCAGATGGGCTTGGCAAGGGAAAATGAGCCCTGTGCGCACTGTTCCCTCTGCTTAGCCTGATCCTGGTCCTGAGCAGGAGAGAGAGCTGGCCAGGCCACACCCCAAATAGCCAAACCAAGGCTGGGGTCTCCTGCTTCCTGTGAGAGGCTTTTAATAGATACGAGGAGAAAAAAAGATGGAGAGAAGACCCCGGTATCTGTTATATTGATTTTATTGTGAAACTGAATAGGGCTGACATTTTTTTTGTTTTTGTTTTGGAAAACAGACACATTGTAAACTTAATTGAAAAATCAGTGTCCATAACTGTGTATCCTATTTAAGGATTTTCCCGTTAATATAATTTTTAAGGGTGGAACAAAAGTATATAGGCTGTGGAGTTAGACTCTCAGGGTGTGAATTTCACCTACGCCAATTATTAGCTGTGTGACCCTGGACAAGTTCTTACTTAACTTCCTTGTACTTTACTTTCCTCCTCTGTAACACTGAGGATAAAACAAGGTCTTTTTCAGGTTCAAATGCAATAAAGCAAACATGTAGTTATATAACTTGGACAGAGTAAACATTCAGTAATGATTACTGCTATTGTTATTATTACCTCTATAATTTTATTTATTTATAGTTTTTTTTCTATTATAAATAACACTGTGATGAACATCTGTGTGTCTTACTTAATAAAGTTCTATGTTGCCAAGTTGAGGAACAGATTTAGACCCAATGGTCAAACTCCATGGGGCACATATCTGGCACCAAATCTTCTCTTACTCCTTTCCCTGACTTCTTTCCTTGCTGCTACCGTTTTGCCAAACATCATTTTTTTTTTACATTTTTGTACTTTTCCTTCTGCATCTCCCACTGCCTGCAGCACTCACTCTCCTCAACCTACTTGGGAAATTTGTCCCACCCCCATTCTGTATACCATCATACTATCCTCTATGAAGATGGTACTATTTTGGTGTTGTCTCCCCTGAAAAAAGCTTCTTGTTGCCTGGCACTTTAAATTCAAACTTCTCTCCAAAAATCAGCTCAACCCACAAATAACATGTGACAGCTGACCTACACAAGTTTTCTCTTCCTACCAGGCCCATGAGCTCCTAGGGCGAGCACTCAGTTGCTCATGTGTTTGGATCTTCTTAGGGTTAAGAACAGAGCAGGATACTTGGTAAAAGTCCAATTAATAACTGAAGAACAGAACTGAAAATACAGTTCCTGCCCAGAGCAAGCTCTTCTCTGAATTCTGGCCAATGTGCTTCCCAGGAAGGATTGCTTAACTCCAAGATCTACCTCATGCCATTCTATCCACGATGTTTCCACACAGAATCCCAAACCATAATGTGACTGGGGGGGAAGGAACGCTAGCAAAAACAAAACTCCTAATTTTCCTAAATATTAAATCTGAAACAAATTCAGAGGCCAGAGGTTAAAACTTAGGGGAAAATCTCTACCCCTTCTTTAGAAATAAAAGTTTAAAACTAGAGGTAACATTACTTTTGTTCAGCATATATTTAAAGCATGACTCAGAAAATAACTAGAACTGTTTGCACTTACCAAGGATAGAAACTTGTGCAAATGTATTTTCGGTATACAGCAATGCCCGCAGAAGCAATTCCAATCATTAGATCTAAATTGTGCAGATCCTGTAAAAAGGAAGATCTCAGATTCACAGCATGTTAGAGTCATGCGTATGCCCTCTGGTAACTTTCAAGCACCCATGTTTTATAAATACCAGTATGTATAAGCTCCAAAGGGGAAAATGTTGCTGAAAACAGGCAAAAATCCCCACTTAACTGATACTTAAGATCCAAGGACACAGCACCAAATTCTTCTAAAGTGAACACACACTGAGTGTCAGTAACACCTGGTTTAGAAAGTTACCAGATAAGCCCACTCATTCCACAGAATCAGTTAAATGAACATTCAGTTTTACAATTTCGGCCATCAGCATTAGATAGCCATGTTAAAATCAGACAGGCCTCACCTGCTACACAGCTTTATACTAATCTCTACTCCCATACTGAAAAGGCTTTAGCTATTACAATATGATGATGAAAATTTCAAAGTGTAGAACTGTTGATATGAAATCCAATTAAGAAATAAAGGTTGCTTATAAATCCAATGCAGCCCCCATTTACTAAGAGCCTATGCTAGGCATTGCTACAGACAATGAAGATACACAAGGAAGACACAGCGACTACAAGCAGTTTTAAATCCACTTGAGAACGAGATGAGTATAAGTAAATAAAATTTAAAATAAAACAGTTCCTTCCCTTGAGTCACTGATATTTCTATTTCGCCAATCAGATACTCATAATTACAAAGAAGGGGCAGTATCTCAGTTACAACTGACTGTGAACCTTTGGTCTACCACTTACTAGCTATGTTATCTTGGGCTTCTGAGCCTCAATTTTTTTTTTAAAAAGATTACGGAACCTACCTCAAAGAGTTTTTAATAGAGAATGTAAATAATTTTATTAGAAGAATTAAGAATTTTATTAGAGAGTATAAATAAAGAACCTAGAACAGGGCTCGGCATATGGAGATTTTAGAATAGGTCTTGGTATGTGGTAGGTATAATAAACGCTCATTCCCTCTGGCTGTGGGACAAATCATTTATGAACAACAATATGAACATAGGGAGTTAGGGAAACTGGACAAGAAAAACAGTGCTGAGACAGAGGACGGTCAGAGTATTCACTATGGGCACCTAAATGAAATCACATGCTTAAAGCAAAACCAAATTTGCATAATGTAGAACAAATAAGGTTGCATTTAAACATGATACCTATTCATGATATTATATTTATATATTTATTTAATATGTTTATATTAAATTATGTTACTTTAACATAATATTTCACAAAATAAGGAAATATCAAGCAGGTGGGACAGAAGAACAAATTAGCAAATGAAATAAAAATAGAGTAAATAAGGAAATGAATGAATGGTCTGGGTGGGCCAGAGACCTGGGTCTCAAATCTCCTGATTCTGTGGTCTTTCAATACACACCTCAACCCCTGTGTCACAGACAGTTACTGGTCACTCTAAATTCCCATGGCCAAACCCACATTACCCACCTCCCCTCGTAGGAGGCAGGGCCATGTGGTGAGTTCTGACCAACGTGCTCTGCAGAAGTGGTATGTGTCTCTTCCCTGCAAAGCATTTAAGAGCTGGTGTGCCCTCTACTTCTCTTTCCTGTGACAAGCAGGAGGCCATGTGGGAAGATGGTGAAGCCACAAGATGGGAAGCAGCCTAGACTGCCAGGTTACTGCACAAAGGGGGGCTGCCTGGAGAGACACCCGGACCCAACGCAGACTTTGAGTTATTGAAAAATAAACTTTGCAGTATCAAGCTTGAGATTATAATCCAACCTCCTCAGATACCCTGGGGATCTCAGCACTGAAGGTAGCCACCTGGCCTCATAACCCTTGAGGGTCATTTCCTTGAAAGTTCTGGGGGTGGGCAGAGCACAGATCAACTCAAGTTGATATAAAGTCCTACTTCAGCACTGAATAAAGTTCTCCAAAACACTCTAGCAAAGATAAAGTACTATTTGCAAATGGAATAAACATTAGTGGTTAAGTCCTAAAGTTGATATTTTATCTATTACATTTTTCCTACTTTATTATCTATGTCATAACTTGTCTAACTCAAAGGACTGTAGGGGACTGACATGAGATAAAAATAAAACTTTCTATAAACTGCAAAAATATTATATAGATTTAAATTCTGGTGATTTATTTAACCTCTATGAGCCTCATCTGTAAGATAGGGATGATTAGAATACTGATTTTACAAGGTTTCCATAATCCTAAAATGAGAACTTAGGGTCTCATATGAAATCATCTGGAGCAAAGGCTAGTACATAGTAGGTTTTCAGTTAATATTAGCTTCCTTCTGGATATGATGTGGGCCAATTACAGGTAGAAAAGCTAACACTTAACAAAGGTCCCAAAGCACATAAGTCGTGGAGTATTAGTTTCTCTATCTGTAAAATGGGAATAATGATAATACTTACCTCATGGCATTCCCACAAGAAATAAAGTAAGTAATACACTGGTACATAGAAATTGCTCAGTAGATGACTGATATTAGTCAATTCTATTAGAACAGTCACAACCAATTTAAAAGATTTACTGATTTTCAGTCATACCACCATAATTAAAAAAAACCCAAAAAACTACCATATTTGAGCAACTACTTCTAATTTGAGCAGTTCTTGGGATTAAGTAGTATAAACCTTGGCTCACTAAACTTTCACTTGGAAAATGAACATATACACATATTTTTGCCTCTTCAACCATAATATAGAACAGTTTTATAAAATGGTCTTACAAAAATTACTCATTTCTAGTCCCCCGGAACCTTCAGAAGGAAAAAGTCTTCAAGTACAAAGGCAAACACAAAAAAACCAATAAGGTAAATGACCAACATAATTCAATGTTATTTAGTAAACCTTCCAAATATCTTTAAAAAGGTCTTGTTAAAATGGAAAGAAATGATTTTATTAAAAACTTACACACTTTCAGAGAGTAAGATAAAAAAATAATTTCTTAACCAAAACATGACAAGGACACATACCCTACCACCGTGCAGTTCCACTCCGTAGAAGTCGAGGGTCCGTGCTATGTTGATATAGCAAGATTCTGCTTCTGACTGCTTTAGCCCACTACAGAAAAAAAGAGAAAATGCAGAGTTATATAGAGGATATTAACTTCAATTTTTAAAAATTAAAAAAAAAATGTAGAAAACTTGATAACATTCCTCTAAGGTTATGCTTTGTTATTAATCTTAAATAATCTAACGCTAAATTCTACGAAACCAGGTTTTTCAGCTTGTCCATTGAATTTGACTTCATGTAGCCTTCTCATTTTTTATTAAACAATACTTCCCATTTAGTGGGCTCTTAATATTAAGAGGGAGAAGACTGTCACCTTTTGGAATGCCCACCCTACTTATTCCAAGTTACTTAACAGGTAATCTTTAGGTCTTTCTGCCTCTATTTTTTTTAGGAGTAGCCTCAAACTTCCCAATGCCACTGGCCCTATACTATTTTAGGACACTGACTTCTGCCCAGGGAGTAATTCTGGGAGAGAGGCTTGGCAGCGCCTTCTTAAAAGGTATGCTGCTTGCCTGGCCTTTGTTTTTCTCGCTTTCCCAAAAAGTCTGAAGTCCTTCAGAGCTGACGTTCTTGATCAGGGTGGCCCTTATATGACCTGGACTGAACAGCTGCCACTGTAGCTTTGAATAAAATGAGGAAAGGGAAAACAGGGACAGAATTGGGCACAGGTGCTAGAGCTGAAGTTCGTCCCGAGGCAGCTGCTGAAGGCCAGTGCTCCCGACTTGGAAGTAAGGCATTTTTCTTAAACTGAACATGGGAAGGGCTTGGGATTCACCTAGCCTGCCAGCACTTAATGCCCACCTGTCTGTCTATTTAACAATACCTGAAAGAATGGCCCATTTTATTCAATGTGGCAAACTGCTAAAAGGTTTACCTGACAGGGTCAATTTGTGGCACAGTCAGATTTCAAAATGGGCATTTTCTTCAGGAATTAACCAATTTCAATGACATCCTAAAAAGGAACACAGCAGCCACCACCCTAAACTCTTACTGGATTTTACACTTTTCAGAAATGCTAGTCATGCCAAATATACCTGCCACCATTACAGCTCAAAGGTTCAAAAACCCGATGTCTTAAAAGAGGATCCACAAGCAAGAGGAAGAGGTTGCATCAAACACCAGGATATGATGTCTGAAAATACCCGACCTAAGTTCCCAAAATAGGCCACCCCGGGTCCCTCTCTCACCTGTGCTGCTCATGGAGCGATTCCACCTTTGTTAAAAAGTCATCGTTTTGATCTGGTATAAACTGACTATCGGAAAGATAGCCTGTATGATGTATGGAAGAATTATAGTCTCCAAAATGAGCTATTAAGACAGAATGAGGGGAGAATCATAATTAGTTTTGCCTTCTCAAAAATGTATGTATTTACAGTCATCTATAGCATTACAAGAAAAAGTTGGAAATATTCTCCTGATAAGTTCTGCCACCAAAGGAACTAGAGCTTCACATTAACTCCAGACTCCACAATTTTTTTTTTTTTTTTTTTTTTTTTTTTTTTTTTTTTTTTTCCCTGTCCGGCCACGGATCGCAACCCCCAGTGTTGCCCCCCCACCCGGCCGGGGGC